CAAATGCTGCTAGACTTTAAATCAAAATCTCTGACATTTACAAAAATTCTTGAAAAAGGTTTCTTAATCTTTAAAGTGTGTGTTTAATAATGATTTTGTCTGATTCAATAATTCTCTTTTAATGGGTACATAATTATCTGTTTATGTGTTAAGTCGTGGATTGATAGAGGACTTGGCACAGATTCGCTTTAGCCCTCTCACAGTGATACAGCTGCTAATCTCTGCAGAGCACTAATAAAACTGAAAGCCATGCCAGTGTAATCTCCTCTAATCCCATTCAATTCTTTTAAAACAATTCCCAGCTCTTGTTTGTAAGAGCCAGCACCAAAGAGACAAAACTAATACAGCCGGTTTGACGTTCGCCCCCAGAGATCGGCCCGTGCCGCAGCTAATCAGGGGCTGCGTTATGGAAATGAAATAGCTAGTACGTGAATATTTATGCTTCATTTTAGTGCCTCTCATAGCGGCCTTACTACCACTTGCAGGTACAATCAGAGCTAAGTTAATTGGCTTTGCTAATGCCAACAGGCTGATTCATTGAACGCAACGGGAGAAAGACTATTGAATAACTTCCAGTTAATACGTTTGTTTTCTTGCCGGGTTTTGGTTAATGTCTGTGGAGCTCTCATTTCATGAGAAGAAACATTAGGATTAAAGGAAAGCAAAATGGATCTGCAAGCTGTTACAGCGTCTTCTGCAGCTTGAAGCTGACAGGGAAAGTGATTCCCGCTGACTCGAGCTGCAATCAGAGAAATTGATCGTGAGTACGACTGCAGACTGAAGAACCCGAGACGGTGTTTTATTGCACAGAGTGGCCTCGACACCAGGCTATTCCTTTACAGCTGCCTCTTTATTAGAGGCTTAAAAACCTCCTCCTCTCACCTAAAAACCAAAAGGGTATAAGCTTTTTCTTTATTTCTTTAAATTTTTTCTACCCCCACTCCGTCAATTTTCTACTGCTTATCCAGCTTAGCAGTCCAACGAGTGATGCAGATGCCTCACTGTCCAATGCCACCACCTCCAGCACTTCCAGGGCGACACCAAAATGTTCCCAACTGGCAGAAAGACTTTTTCTCCTCAGCATGTCCTGTGTCTGCCCCATGCTTGCCTTCTGGTTGAACCCATAACACCTCAACATCTAAGTAAGTCCGAACCCAAGTAGCTCAGAGCTGCACGGTGCTCTGAGCCACTG